CACCTACTCTCCCACACTTGTTCAGCCTGTGTATCTATCTATGCATCTAACCGTAGATCACCGTTATTGCAGGATTGTGTATTGTTGTTAAGAGCTGTTGGGTCGCTTCTGACTCATAACGACCCTGTATAGGGTTTCTGAGGAGTGGCTGGTGGGTTTGAACTGCTAACCTCGTAGTTCAGGTCTCCATTAAGATTGTGCATATATACCAGTATTTATCGCTGTTGCCTTTAACTCTTGTACTCTTTCCAGGGTCTTCTGCTTCCATCATTTTTTGGCAACCTCCCTCTTACTGTATATTGCTTTCCCCTGCACCCAAGTTAACAACCATCTACCCTTTAGCTAGTGACTTGCTCTCCCTTTCCCTCCCACCCCCGGTCATCATCAAAGAATGTTCTTTTTAGTGTGAAAACCTTTTCTTAACTTTTTACAGTAGGAATATCACACAATATTTGTCCTTTTGTGATTGGTTTCACTCAGCAAGACTGCAAAGCCCAAAAATTATGACATCTTTGTCAGTCTAATATTTACTGGTTGTTGTTACATGCCAGTGAATTGATTCTACATGACAACGACCCTGTACAGGGTTTCCAAAGAGCCTCCGGTGGGTTTCAACCACCAACCTTTGTAGTCAACATTCCACTTCTTACACTACAGTGCAAGCCTCGGATTCCCCTTAAGCCCTAAGGGGTAAGGATTAAGATGGGGCTAAAGGGTAGAACTATAGGATAAGCACTGGACTGCTAACTGCAAGGTCAGCAGTTCAAACCCACCAGCTGCTCCTTGGAAACACTATTGAGGGTCGCTATGAGTTGGAACCCACTTTGATGGCACAACAAGGATTAAGAATTAAGGTGGCCCCACCTTCAAAGAATAAGCATTGGACTGTGAACCATAAGGTCAGTGGTTCAAGTTTACCAGCTAGTCTGCGGGAGAAAGATGAGGCTTTCTGCTACTCTATACAGGTTCACTATGAGTTGGAACCGACTCAGTTACACTGAAGAACACCACAACCTTAATCCTTCCACCTCCTTGTTTTTAGATGCCATCGAGTCGGCACTGACTCATAGCGACCTTATGCACAGCAGAACAAAACACTGCCCGATCCTGTGAGGTTGGCCCTTCCTCCTTAGTTCCACCTTAATGCTGCCTCATAACAAGTCTTCAAAATGGGTCCATAACCAAAGGCATGTGGTGGTGGTTAGCTGATATCTCCTTGATTCGGACTCACAGCAACCCTGTATAGGGTTTCCGAAGAGCAGCTAGTAGGTTTCAATTGCCAACCTTGTGGTTCACAGTACAGTGCTGATCCTACACAGCCACACCAGGAGTCCAAGCAAGAATCTTAAAACACATTAACTCAATTACCTATCTCCCAATTTGTATGTTATCACTGTCATATATTTTAATTTTGTAATTCTTTTTTTTAACACAAAAGGCATTACTTCCATTTACTGCAAATTTGAAGGTGAGGTGGCAAATTCTCTTTCTCTTTAGGTCTGGGAAAGCCATAATTTCATTTGAAGACTATTTTCACAGTATAGAAAACTCTAGTTATCACATGCAGTCTACCATTAGCATTCTACTGTACTTAAGGAACGAGCCTTGGGAGTGTATGAGTTGGGCTGCTAGCCTCAAGGTTAAGTTAAGTGCCTTCAAGTCAGAGCCGACCCATAGCGACCCTGTACAGGGTTTCCAAGGGTGTAAATCTTTACGGGAGTAGAAAGCCTCATCTTTCTCCCGCGGAGCGGCTGGTAGTTTCAAACCACTGACCTTAAGGTTCACAACCCGATTCGTAAACACTACGCTACCAGAGCTCCTTAGCCTCAAGGTTAGCAATTCTAATCAAGGTCAGTTGCTCTGTGAGAAAAAGATGAGGCTTCCTACTCTCATAAGGATTTATAGCCTCGGAAACCCTTTACAGGGTCACTATGAGTCGAAACTAACTCGATGGCACACAACAACCACCACCACTGTATTTACTTCATCACATCTCTCTCCATACCTCTGATTTGTGAAGTCTTTCAGAGCAAGTTGCAGATATCTGTGATATATGTATATTCCCTGGCTCTGCATCTTGGTCATTTGTTTGAGCTATCCTCTCGTTTCCTTGTGAGTTAAAATTGGCCTCCAAGATGTGGTAGAGTTGTCATATTTGTAAAAACGTTAACAGTGCAGCTGTTAGACCAGGAGGGGAGAAATCTCTGGGGACTCCTGCAATTCAAGGAGCTCACGAGGTGGTTCTGGGAGGGATGTGACAGCAGAGTTCCTGGTTCTAACCGGAGTTCCTATTGGCCTTGGTGTTATCTATGTATAGAGCACTCAATCCGGAAATAGTGCGTGAGGGTCCTTGATTGAGCTCGTTTCAGTAGGGCAGCAGGGAAGCTGGGGCCAGATGACTGTTTAAATGCCAGTCTGGTGGCTTGGGGGGGGGGGGGGTTGTAGGTCAGGAGCCAAGCCCACACGAATCCAGGCACCAAAGCAGAGCAGCCAGCCCTCACCTCAAGCTGGTGCGGCTCCCAAGCACATGGCTACAAACTCCTGGAGAGCAGGGTCTATGCTGGGGCGGGGATGAGAGTGGGATCTGGCCATACTTTTGGTCACCAGGTAACGATTGTGGGGAAAAGAACAAATCGCACCTTTTCCATCACCCACTCGAATTTGCTCTGCCAGGCTTCCCTCCACTGCCAAAGCTGCTCACAAGATGGTCAAGCCATGTCTGGCCAACCGTTCACCAGTCAGTCTTCCTCTCTTGCCATTCCTGCTCAGCCTCTCCTCCCTGCAAGCACTCCATCCACCTTTCTAACTTTTCATCTGATTTTTAGGGTACCAGAATTTTCATTTGTGTGTTTTATTTGGTTTCTTGTATCTCTGTTGTAGAGCATCAGTGTAGTGCGTCTGCCTAGTCCACCAATTTGCCAGAAGTCCCTCCCTCTAGCTCTTGTTTATGGACAGTTAGTTGTTATGTGCTGAGGTGTGGTTTTCTCTACATTTTTCTCACATGAACTTTTTCCTGTTGAGTCTGTGTCTTGATGTTTTTCATCAGTTTGGGAGGAAAAAAATGCAGTTATTAATCTCTTCCAAAATCACCTGTCTTATTCTTGCTCCTTCTAGGACTAGTCACGTGTTGTTTATATTGAGCGTCATCGAGTCAGTTCCTACTCATAGCAGCCCTTTATAGTTTCCAAGGAGCAGCTAGTGGATTTAAATTGACAACTCAAACCTTCATTTAGCAGTCCAGTGCTTATCCTACAGCACCACTGCTTAGCTCTACCTTAATCCTTACTCCTTAGGGATTAAATGGAATCATGATGTGGCACTATAGGATAAGCAATGAAATGTTAACTGCAAGGTCAGTGATTCACACCCACTGGCTGCTTCTTGAAACCCCTACACATAGGGTTTGAACTGCCAACCTTGTGATTAGCATATCCTACAGTACCACACTCCAACTACGTGTTGTAGTTAAGTGCCATCAAGTCATTCTGACTCATACAGATCCTGTATAGGGTTTCCAAGGAGCAGCTGGTGGGTTTGAACTATTGATCTTGTGGTTCACAGTCCAGTGCTAATCCTACAGCACCACATCAGAAATCCAATCACATATTAGACTCCCTACATTCTCTATGTCTCGTATGCATTCCTTATTTTCTTTCTTTGTTTTTCTGTTTCACTTTAGATAGGTTCTTCTGCTCTAACTCTTGGCATTTAGTGGCTCTTCAATTGTGTCATCTATTGAGTTCCTACTTTTGATCACCATTATTTTTCAATTCTAGAATCTCTATTAGATACATTTAAAATATATCAAAGTTTCTAGTTCCCTGCTATAATTTTCTACCTGCCTTCTCTCCCTTTTGATAGTGCTAGGAGTGTATCTGATAATTCCAATGTATCTGATAATTCCAATATATGGGGCGTTTGTTTGTCTCTATTATCCAATTTTTGTTGGTAATCATTCCTATTGTTTTGATTCCTATGTGCCTTTTCATTCCTCTTATGACAAGTTGGGGTTTAAGAGATGTTATCTTCACCCCCAAATTTGCTTATTTGCTTTTACTAGATGTCTTAGGCTCTAACAATATAGGTGTCAATCCAAGACTCAGGAGCTGGACGTGGCTGTAGTCCTGATGAGGACTGCTTTCCTTTAATATCTTCCTTATTGCCAGAGTACAGCTCTTTGGAGAATCAATCCAAATTGCAGGGTACTCACCTCCCCACAACATGCCCTCCTATAACCCTTTGTAGACTCGGAATATATCAGTTTTTGTACCCCGAGTCCACAGAGTTCATAGCTCTTGCCCAGTCCCTCAGTCATCTTTCCTGGGGGGAGACATGACTAGCACTACATCTCTGGATTCTTGCTTTTCTCCTGGATGTTGGCCTATTAAATCTTCATTACTTTGCTAGCTCTCTGAAACCTTCAAGCAGGTTGGTTTTTGTTTTGTGTTTTTTTTTCTCTAATACTTTGTTCTGGTGTGGCACTGTATAATAAGTACAGGACTGCTAACCACAAGGTCAGCAGTTCAAACCCACTGGCCACTCTTCAGACACCCTATACAGGATCCCTATGGGTCAGAATGGACTCCAGGGCACTTAACAGTAAAAGAGAAGCCTATCAGAGCTTTCTTATGCAAGGATGAAGACAGCACGGTGGTCCCTGCTCCACAGGCAGTTTTGTTCTGTCCACTGACAGCCCTTGGCTCAGGAATCTACCCTGAACTCACAAACATGGAAGTTATCAAAGCTTCAGCTTGGGGCTTGACCTGATCCATGGTGAACTTACAAAAGGTCAACTGCACAGAATCTAGATTTAGATAAGGTAGAAGTGAAGGTAAATGACCAGGAAGCCAGAATACATCACCATAGCTGGGTATAATATAGGTCAGGTGACAGGAAAACGAAGATGGGAATTTGGATAGTGGTGGGGGGTATGCGGTAGAGACTTTGCCCTGGGTGTGCTACCTAAAAGCCACTCCTCCCCCTGGGGACCCCTGACTCACAGCCATAAGGATTGGTACTTTTAAAGGTGACATTGATGGGAAAGTTCCACACCAGCGCTCGTCGCACATCTAGGCTTTTGGATGTGATCTGCGAGATCCCCTCCTCCAGACCCTGTGAGGACAATCACATTGACAGCTAGTATCCACACTTCAGGTTATCAAACCCCTCACCTCACCTTAGGAGAGCTAGTGGGAAGGATAGTTTGGGAAGGGATAGTTTTATTAACTATCTTCTTCAAAGACACATCTGAACAAAAAAGACAAATCTATAATACAGCACCTCTTAGGTCTAAACTATAATCTATTACTTTCTTGTAGCTTGGAAGGTTGACAAAGGAAGTTAACCCCTTTCCTTGTATACTTAGTCTTGTCCCTTTTGCCTCCTGAAGGAAACAGTTTGTCAATTTTTCATTCTGCCTCCAATATCATCAATTTTAATGAGATCATTCCCATCAACACATACATGCTACCTTCTCTAGCACAAGACGAGACATTTTTGTTTTACTTCTTCCTCCATCAACCTATCCTTTGTTCCCCTTTACAGCAAAACTCCTCAAAAGAGTGGATGATTCTCACCACCTCCACGTTCTCTTCTGTTGATCACCAGTGACCCCAATATGATGACTGGTTCCACCACTCTAACAAAGCATTCTCATTAACTGACACATGATCTTGACACTGCTAGGTCCAACAGCCAGATCTCTATCCTAGTTCTACTAAAACATCGGCAGCATCTGACAAAGTGAAGCATACTCTGCTTCTGGACACATCTTCCCTCAGTTTCTGGAACACTACAAGCATCTTGGTGTTGCTACCTCACTAGCAGCTCCTGATCAGCTTTTTTTTTTTTTGCCACTGACTGCCTAATGCTGGAGTGTTCCAAGGCTCCATCCCTGGTCTGCTTTTTTACTGTGCCTGTGTTCTCATCCAGAATGACACCTTTAAATGTGGTCTTGTATCTTGATAAGGACAGATACAGCTTGATCTGTCTCCAGCTTGATCCTCTCTCCTGTATCTTCCCAATCCTGCTGCCTACCTGACCCTTCCAGCTGTGTATCTGCTAGGCAACCTTACCACATGCCAGGCTAACTCTACTGAGTTCTCCCACATCTGGTCTCTCCATAGTCTTCTCAACCTGCATGTACTCAAGCTAAAAACCTTGCTGTCATTCTGAAGTCTTCATTGTGCCATTCCCCACATCTAGTCCAACAAGAAAATCTGTTGGCTCTAATTTCAAAATATACGCAAAATTGAATCACCTTTCACCATCCTATAGCCACCCCTTTTGTCCCCAACCACTACCTGCTCACACCTAATTACTGTAATCACTAACTGGTCTTCCAATTTCTGCCCTTGCTCCGCACCAACAATCTATCCTTAACATGGAAGCCAGAGAGCTCACCTCTTTCCTCTGTTTAAAATTCTCCGATGGGATCTCATCACACCCTGCATCAATGTAGGATCCTTCTCAATGTTCCACCTCTAGTCACTCTCCTCCCTGCTCAGACTGTTCACTGCTGCATTGCCTCTTTGTTGTTGCTGTGTTCAGAATCACAGTGATCCCTGTCTGTATATAGGGCCTCCCAGTCTGCATTCTTTACGGGAGCAGATCATCAGCTGTTTTCGCCCACAAAGCTGCTGGATGGGTTCACACCACTGACTTTTTGGTTAACAGGGGAGCACTTAACCATTGTGCCACCATTGCTCCTTAGAGTCTCTTTACTACTCTTCAAACATGCCAGGCACACGCCTGCCACAGGGTCTTGTACTTTCTACTCCCGCTGACTGGAAAATTATAGATTTCCACATGGCTTGTTCCCTCACTTCTTTCAGATCTTTACTCAAAAGTCACCTTTCTCAGGGAGGCCTTGTCTGACTGCCATATCTAGATTCCAAAAACCACATCAGTTCAATTCTGACTCATGGCAACCCCCTGATACCAATGTCTCTCTTTTCTTTTACACCGTCCATTTCTGACTTTTCTTCCCCCTTCAGCACTTATTACTATCATACTATGATGTTGTTGTTGTTGTTGTTAAGTGCCATCGAGTCGGTTCCGACCCATAGCGACCCTGTATAGGGTTTCCGAGGGTGTAAATCTTTACGGGAGTAGAAAGCCTCATCTTTCTCCCGCGGAGCAGCTGGTAGTTTCGAACCGCTGACCTTAAGGTTTGCAGCCCGATTCGTAACCACTACGCTACCAGAGCTCCTTATGATATCTACTATTTATTATTGTATGTCTACTCCTACAAGAACATATACTTCAACAGAGCCGGGACTTTTATCCAGTTTTGTTCCCAACTGTATCCTCACAACCAGAAGATTCTCAATAGTTATTCAATAGTTAAATGAGAGACGAGAAAATAACCATTGTCCTATTACTTGCTTGTATAAATGAGGAAACAGAGACTCAGAAAAGTTAACTTAGTTGGACTTCCATTTCCCCAATTGCTGTGAGGCTAAAAAAAAGGGTTGTGCAAACAGAAAAATGCAGTGCATGCCAAAGACATCACCACAATCCCGCTCCTGTTGAAGGCAGACTATCCTCTGGGAAGTCTATAAATGAGAGATGACGTTCTATCTTGTGACTCTCCAAAGGCCTTGTCACAAACAATGAGGGAACTTGCCAAAATGTCTACAGCTCACACCTTCCTGGCTAGCTCTCTGGGGTCTGCCTGCTATATTACACACATGTTCCTCTTTGCCACATGTAACTTTACAGGACAGGGTATGCGAGTGAGTAAAGTCCAGGGACGGCAGTGATATGAGAGGACATATTTGGGAGCTTAACTACGTCTGTACTCTCTACTTTAGCTTTACGAAGAACCAACTCATGTTTAGGTCGCCTCCTCCCCCCCCCCCCCAAAAACACACACACACGCACACACTCTTGTCTACTTCTCAGTTGCTTCTGAACTGGGAGGAAAAGGGGCATGATGGAAACTTTGAGGAATCCCAACAATCATGAATCCTTGAGCAAGGGAGATCCAAGAGTCCAACTTACCGCTGTAGGGGCCCAGTCCTGCCCATACACGAAGCAGTACTTGCAGTAAAGGTCATCATACTCGGGGAACTGTGGAAATAAGCACATGAGTTCTGTATACTGGGACTCCTGCTCAGGAGGTACAGCCAATAGGAATTCTGAACAAGGGGCACGTGGGGTGATATCTAAGAATCAGCTAGACATGTGGACATACAGGTTCAGCAGAGAGACTGTGCTGAGGACTGAGATATGGGAATCCAGTGAGCTCCAGGTTGCTACAAGCCCCTGGGCCTTTGCTCAGATTCTGCCTTCAGTCTGATATTATCTTCCCATTCCTTCATCAACTTCTGTTCCTCCTTCAGAACTCATCCTTCTGGAAACCTGTGCTAATGTCCAGGCTCCATCAGCCTCTAGGCGTCCCTCCATCAAAGCAATAACTGTTTGTGACTGGACTTCCCATTAGATGGTGCACAGGGAGGGCAGGGTGGGCACAGAGGAGGTCTAAAGGGATGGTGCCCAAGGGAAAGGTCTGAGAAACCAAGAAGGCATCAGAGCACAGGCTTTGCACTGAGAGCTCCAACTGGATAGCTAGAACAGGCAAGGGTGGAAGACAGTCTCAGGTACCTGGCCAAGGGGTATTGACAAGGGTGGAAGCATGGGGTAGAAATATCCCTGAGGAAATTGGGGAAGGCAGGAAACATGTACTGAGTATCAAGATAGCTTTATCTAAAACATCTCAATCCTTACATGTAATAATAAACACTATTTTTAATAATAAGGTCAGTGTTTGGGTGTAGCAAAGCTTTAGAGTAGAAGAGACCTGGGTTCAAACCCCATTTCTGCCACTCCCTTTGCACGTTTTCCCACATGTTAAACAGAGATGTTAATAATACCCACCTAACAGGAGCTCTGGTAATGTAGTGGTTACAAATCGGGCTACTAATCTCATGGTCAGCAGTTCGAAACTACCAGCTGTTCCACGGGAGAAAGATGAGGCTTTCTGCTCCCGTAAAGATTTACAGCCTTGGAAACCCTGTACAGGGTCGCTATGAGTCGTAACTGACTCCATGGCACATAACAAAAACAACCACCAAAGACGAGACTCTGACAGGGGTTAAAAGAAAGGGACTGCTGTAAAGGAGAAGAGAGTTAGTCAGTCATAAAATGAGGGGATGAGGACTGGAGTAAGCATAGACAAATTCCCCAAATTAACTTCTTGGACACTTGAGCCAGGAGCCCAATTCACAGAAACATATATAAGGAAAAGTCAAATTGTCTTTGAGGCTCCTCCTCAGTTGCAGGTGTAAGCCCATTTCTTTTCTCTCTGTTATAAATCATGAGTTTGGGATCATATAAAAGGAGACTGCATTATTCTGGACATAAAAGCACAATATCATTCCAATTCTTCTTCAAAAATATCACTGGTATTAGATTGTTATCCCACAAGAGTGGAGGTAAATATTAGCAGTTAATTCACTGAATAACAAAACAAAGAGGGGGGTGGGCTATGTAAGATAATTATACTTCCCTCATATGCAGTGTCTGGTCCTTAATTGGGGCAAACCAGATATAAAAGGGCTTTTGGGGAAAAATATAAAAAACCAAAAATAGATTGGAAATTATGTGATAAGTTGGGAATTAACATCAGTTTTTACTAAGTGTGACAATGAAATTATGGTGATTGTGATGTTTGCTAATTGCTGTCGATTCTACTTTGGCTCCCGGTGACTCTGTGTATAAAAACATCTATGCTTAATAAATCATCTTGTCTACTTAAGCTTCTTGTCTTTCTAACTTCTTTGCATGGGTAAGTATGTTGTTAAAGGCCGTCGAATAGATTCTGACTCAAAGCCACCTTTTATAAGGTTTCCGAGGAGCGGCTGCTGAGTTTGAACGGCCGACCTTGCGGTTCAAACTAACCTTGTGGTCCAGTGTTTAACCTACAGCGCCACACTAGGATTCCGGTCAGTGTGCTGCTGTCGTTACGTACCATCCAGTCAGTCCAACTCACAGTGACCCTGTCTGTATAGGGTTTCCGACGAACAGCTGGTGAGCTTGAACCACCGACCTGTGGTTCAAGCCAACCTTTTGGTCCAGTGCATTAACCCACAGCGCCATACCAGGGCTCCGGTAAGTGTTGTTATGCTATCGTTGGTTTGAAACTACCCAAATCACCTGTATTTCAACCTAGATTCAAGAATCAGGTTCAGTGATGCCCCTACTCCGCCACGAACAGAGGAGGCCGGGTCGCCCCATGAAGCCCCGTGGGGATCTGCTGTTCAACAAAGCTAGAGGCCACAAGCCTGACTGAGTGTGCCCTGTGTACGAGCTCAGCCTCTGTAAGGCTGTTTCCACGCAGCGCACTGGGGGCGTCCAGCACCGTTGCGTCGCGCTGCCCCCCTCACATTCCTGCTCTCCTCCTCAGCCTTTCTGACTTGGAGAAAGGCTCCATGGAACTACAGTTCTTGCTGGGGCCCCAGCGCAGCCCGAGGGGCTGAGGAACAAGTTCCAAGAGAGGTTGGAACAGATGTCAGTCAGCAGCTCACCTGGGCGCTCTCCACCTGTCCATTGACCATGAGTAGGAAGACGCTGGGACCAGCAGCCGCCATGGCTGCAATAAAGGAATGCGGAACTGATCCAGATTGCAAACGCTGTTGCGCAAAGGCACTAGGGTTGCCTAGGAAACAGATGGCGAGGCGCGCGGTACAAATTTCTTAGCAAGTACGTCAGTGTGACAGTACGCAGGCGCACTCAGCGGGAGCCGCCGGGAGAGGCAGAACTTAGTTGACTGGGCTGGCATTGTGGGTTAGTGAACTTGTCTGCGTTTTTCCCACAGGGATTGTAGCACCGCTGCATGTTAGGGCAAGGCGGCATCTAGGCATCCTGGAGAAGGTAGACTACCTGAAGGGAGGATCTCCAGGTGGGGCCAGAACGCTCCTCACGTTGGGCTAAGGGATACCTATCCCTTGTGTTTTAAAAACCCTCCTCCCCAAAATCCTTACAGCCAAACCACTGCTTTTCCATTGAAGATGGGGAAACTGAAGCCCACAGAGGGGCTGTATCTGGGATTGCAGTAGAACCCAGGATCGGTCAGTTGTTAAGTGCCATCGAGTTGGTTCCAACTCAGGAGACTGTCAATCTTTGAGCTGCAGAAAACCTCATCTTTCTCCCTTGGAGCCAGCCGGCTGGTAGGCTCCCACTGACCTTGTGGTTCACAGTCCAGTGTTTATCCTACAAAGCCACCTGACTTCCCGACCCAAAGCGACCCCGTATACGGTTTCCGAGGATCGACTGGTGAGTATGAACGGCCGGCCATGCGGTTCCACCCAACTTTGCAGTCCAGCGCATTAACCCACAGCACCACACCAGGACTCCTGTATCACAGTTTATTGTTGTTATTGTTGCTAAGTGCCCTCCAGTTGATTCCAACCCATAGCGACCCTGTAAAGGGTTTCCAAGGAACAGCTGATGAGCTTGAACTTCCGACCATGTGGTCTAAACTGACTTTGCAGTCCAGCGAATTAGCCAACAGAGCCACACCAGGGTTCCAAATCAGTTTGTTGTTGTTGTCAGATGCCATCAAGTCGGTACCGACTCATAGGGACCCTATGCACAGCAGAACGAAACACGGCCGGATCCTGGGCCAACCCCACTACTGTTGCCACACTTGAGTCCATCGATACTGCCACTTGGCCAATCCATCTCATTGGGGGTCTTCCTCTTTTTCACTGATCCTACATCTTACCAAACATGATATCCTTCTGCAACGACTGGTCCCTCCTGACAATATGTCCAAAGTATGAGAGAGAAAGTTTGGGTATCTTGGCCTGTAAGGAGCACTCTGGCTGCACTTCTTCCAACACAGATCTGTTGTTTCTTTTAGCAACCCATGGCACTTTCAGTATTCTCCTCCAACACCATAACTCAAAGGCATCAATTCTTCTAGGGTCTTCCTTAGTCACTGTCCAGTTTTCCCACGCATATGAGGTTATTGAAATACCATGGCTTGGGTCAGGCGCACCTTAGTCCTCAAGCTGACTTCTTTGCTCTTCAACACTTTAAAAAGGTCTTGTGCACCAGATTTGCCTAATGTAATACGTCATTTTTTGATTTCTTGA